TTAATAGTACGAGGACTTAATTAACTTTTTTTATATAATACGGGAACCTATTTCATAGTTTTCCCTTGCAAATTTGGTCATGTAAATATGTAATTAATAAAATGAAATTAAAAGAACAAAATAAAATAAAATAAAATAAAATAAAATAAAATAAAATAAAATAAAATAAAATCAGTCGGCCATTGGTAGAAGCCATCTATCATTAGGGTAACTATTGTTTACTCATTACATCATGAGTAAATATTATTGTTTACTCATTACTTTTTTTTGAAGAGAAAATAATTAACTTTCATTCAAAGCATCATCATTCAGTACATGGAATAAAAAACTATGAGAAGACCCGCTCCAACAAATACAATCAGGCAAAGAACAAGCAGCTTTAGCCAATTCGTGCTCCGCCGTGTTAGCAGATCGCTTGACATGAGAAAAAGAGATATCAATAAAACAAAATTTTCTCTCTCTAATATTACCACCAATCAGGGCCGGCCCTGCCCATGTGCAGCAGGTGCGGTCGCACAGGGCCCTTGATCATAAGAGGGCCTCAAATTTTTATAATGTTTTAAGTATTAGATACAATCATCTCCTTTATGGGTGTCTACAATTGTTAGGCGCACAAAGTTATGAGTTATGACTACGTATGTTCTATTTTCTCTGGTCATTTGTAGAATTGTAGGTAGGATCATCCCGTTCTTAAAGCCCGTTTCAAAGTGCAAATAAAATAATTTTATATGCAGATATTTGTGTTGTAGGATGAAAATGTGGTTTTTACAATGAAAATGTTGGGAACCGGTGCCTGATATAATCCGTATGACTTATGAAGCACCATAGGAATTTCCTGAAAAGCAAAAACCGGCATCAAGCAAAATTATTCTATAAAACAGCTATGATAGTCCAAATAAATAAACCTTTCTTCATCCTCTAAAAGAGACTCTTTTTATAAACAAACATACATTGTAGGAAACATAAATAATCCGGTTCTTAGGGCCTGTTTCTTTTATTTTATTATTATTATTATTGAATATTTTTATTTCATTATTAATAACTAAATTTTATTTTATTTTTTGTTAAAATTATGTTTTACTAGGTATATGTCAGGGCCTCATATGCAATTTTGAACAGGGCCCTTTATATGTCAAGGCCGGCCCTGCCACCAATAACCCGTGCCAAGGAGACATGCGACTTCTTCGAGATCCCTATTATAAGAAGAAATCAATTCCTAGCCTAAGACTAGCCTTTTCCTACTGAAACGTATGTTTGTACTCGGTTTATGATTCTTTCTGCATAGTAAACTAGCTGTAAAGGTCTTCATAATTAGTGGGTATGTGGGATAGATATATCTTTTTCATTTGCTGATCGATGCTTTTTAGATCGGTCAAAGTGACAATGCTACTTAATGTTCTTTCTAATAGGGATATTCGATCTGAAGATCGGTCAGGATTGTAAATCACTTTTGAGTACTCACGATAGTTGTCACTTTGTGTTAAGTAGGTGACAAGCTTTGGTTAAGGTGCTGTTCTGTTCATCTTATTCTTATTACTTATTCTTATTTTATTCAGATCAGATCAGATCAGAAAAATTCAGATCAGATCAGATTAGATCAGAAAGATTCAGATCAGATCAGATCAGAATCATTCAGACCAGATCAGATCAAATCAGATCAGAAAATTTCAAACATGATTTACACTTTTATTATTATAAAATAATAATAATAATAATAATAACAACAACAACAATAATAATAATAATAATAATAATATTAATAATAATAATAATAATAATAACAATTATTATTATTATTATAAATATTATGGTGATTATTATTGAGGTGATTATTATTATTATGATTATGATTATTTTTATTATGATTATGATTATTTTTATCATCATCATCACCACCACCACCACCATCATCATCATCATCATTATTATTATTATTATTATTATTATTATTATTATTATTATTATTATTATTATTACTCCATATTATTATAATTATTATTGCTATTATTATTATTATGATTATTATTATTGTTATTATTAATTTATTATTATTATTATTATTATTATTATTATTATTATTTATTTTTATTATTATACAGAGTAATTATAATTATAATTACAATTATAAATTATAGTTATAATTATAATCAGTGTAGTAGGTATAATTTTTCATAACTTTAATTATAATTATATTTATGATTATAATTATAATTAAATATTTTTAGAATTATGACTATAATTATAAATTATATTTATAATTAAAATTACAATTATAATAATTATAATTATAATTAAAGAAATATTCAGATCAGATCAGAAAGATTCAGATCAGATCAGAAAGATTCAGATCAGATCAGAAGGATTCAGATCAGATCAGAAAGATTCAGATCAGACCAGATCAGAAAGATTCAGATCAAATCAGATCAGATCAGATCAGAAAGATTCAGATCAAATCAGATCGGATCACAAAAATTCAGATCAGATCAGAACTTAATAAATTCAGATCAGAAACATTCAGATCAGACGAAGAGAACAGCTTCTAAGACATCTACTTTTGGCAAGAAATTCTTATTTATTCCCAATTCTATTGTGAATGTTATTAATAATGAAATGCAATAAGTTTATCTCTTTCAAAAATAACTCATACATATAGCTTTTCTTTATACCTCACAAAGGAATTCTCAATATAGCTTTTCTACAAAACAAAACTACTCGGTAATACATATAGCATTAATTGGACCCTGTTAAGGTTGTAATTGGACTGCTAAATTATCTGTTAAACTAAAAAATTCAATTCACCCTCTAAACTCGATAAAAGATTCAAATGTCGGTGATGGTTCGGTCACTACCACGTCGCCTAGTAATGTGGGAACTGTGCATATGACGTAACAACTTGAGGGTCAAATAAACCTCTGAATCCAACTAAATTTTTCAGACCGCCTTCTCAACCGTTAAAAAGTATCAAAATTGGAAAAAATAAAAATAGAAAATAAAAATAGAAGTCGAAAGTAAAATATAGACACTTATAAATTAATATAAATATCAAATATGGACGCAGTTGGGCACATGAGCGACTGGAGGAAATCGACGGCTGGCAGGGCGACTCGAAGAGCGAAGGATAAGACAGTCGGAAGTTAGAGGTTCATAATAATAGGTTAAGGGCGTATTAGTCCATGTAAATTATTTATCAATCTATTTATTAAAGGATTATTAGCTAAATATATCCTCAACTATCACCAAATTCACAAATCTATCCCATACTTTCACTTTTATAAAAAAAAAACAGAGACAAACTTCAATTTTTCTCACAATTACACTTTCAATAGATGACGCACTTGGTAAAACTTAAGAATAAAATCATATTTATATTTCATATTTTCACTTCTTTCTAGTTTTAAGTTTACAAACTTGTATTGCTTATATCTTAATGGTATTGATAAAATTTCTAATTTTTGAAAAAAAAAAAGAAAACCATAATTGTTGAAAAAGATGAAGTTTGAGTCTTTTTTTTATAAAAGTGAAAGAATATGATAGATTTGTGAATTTGATGATAGTTTGGGATAAAATAAGCTAATAATCCTTTATTAAATACACTATTTAAATATTACCTATTAAATATTATTATGGGAAAAAACCAATTAGGTCATACATTGAGAAAAGTGAAATAGTTTTAGTCGTTATTAGGGTAATGATCTCAATATAAATATTTATATTTTATATTTTCAATTTGTATTTTATTTTATATATGTATTTTCTATTTTCTATTTTGTTTTTTTTTTACTTTTCATAATTTTGAAAGTTATTTACATTTGAGAGGTGGATTGAACAATTCAGTCAAGTTCATGGATTTGTTTGACCCCTCAAGTTGCCACATCAGATGGACATTTGGCACTTTACTGAGTGATGTGGTGGTGATTGGACCATCATGTGTAAAATGTAAAATTTGAATCTTATTAATTCAGGGGACAATTGAATATTCCAGATAGTATAGTGATCTATTTGATCCTCTAACCTTAACAAAATTGACAATTTTTTCAAACAGTGTATTAACTTTAACAAAATGGACAATACTTTTATGCAGTGTATCTAAATTCTATAGGATTTTTTTTTAAAGGAAACTAATTATATTAAAGCAATCAATGATAACAACAAACCCACAATCAAGAAAATGTAAAATTTGAATCTTTCTAGTCCAGGGGACAATTGAGCATTCCAGACAGTAAAGGGACCTATTTGACCCTCTAACCTTAACAAAATTGAAAATTCTTTCAAACCGTGTATTAACTTTAACAAAATGGACAATACTTTTATGCGGTGTATTTAAATTCTATAGATTTTTTTTAAAGAAACTAATTATATTATAGCAAACAATGATAACAACAAATCCACAATCACGAACGTCAAACCTCCCTATGAGGCTCCGCATATTAGCCAAGCGACCCTCACTCTTTGACTAGACATAGAATAGATCACCCTAAAAAGAGCAAGACTAATCGCTAACCATGTGAGAGCTTCGAAGCTTTTAACGGTTATTCAAGCCTTATCGCTTACACCCACAAACCTAATCTGAATAATGAAAATAAAACAACCAAAGAAACTACCGCTAGTGTTCACAAAGCAGAAATTAATCCGGAAGTGCTGAACGATAAAATAACAAATGAAACGAGCAAAATTAACTAAAAGAAGAATCTAAACCCTACCCGTTAGTTCCTTCCTTGAGGGCGATTCAGGAGGGGGCGGACCAATAACGCTTCACAGGGCCGTCTAATGAATTGGAGGCCCCTGTTCAAAATGAAAATTGGAGGCCCACGTTAATATAAAAAACTAAAAAATATGCTCGATGTAAAATCTTATTATACTCAAGTCATTGAATACTCATTAAATAATGTAATTAAAGAATTACATGTAGTAATTTTTCCCTTTCAAATAATTAATCTCAACATTTTTGTAAAGTGTTTCAATTTATGAGGGGATTATTATACGGAGTAGTGGAGTGTGAGTTTAGCTGCAGCTCATATTCGTATATGATAGTATACACTATTACATTATATAATTAATTAATTAATTAATTAATATTAGGGACCTAAGAATAATACTACTAGTGTCTTATAAATATCAGGGCCCATGCAAAGTGGGGCCCTGTTCTGTCGAACCTAATTAACATGTTCAAAAACGGCCCTGACGCTTCACCATCTGTCTTCAATCCCAACTGATCAAAGACCCACTGGGTATTCTTGACGTCTATCTCTTTCTGCCGTTGGTGTACAACCTAGCCTCCTGATGCTTGAAGTTTTGATTTTTGTTGTTGTCGGTCTAGTGAAGCACTCTTCCGTTGACCTTCGCTGCTGCTGGAGTCCATCATGCCGCATTTGATTGATGTTGCGTCGAGAAGAGCACTGCGTGGAAGCCCTGCTGCCGCCGCCGTGTGATTGACGCCGTGCGAGAGAGAAAAACCTGTGGGCAATCGAGATCGCCGCTCCAAACCCTAGACACAAGACCTACTCGTCCGCTGTATACCGAAGGATCTTTATATGTGAGATATGTGAACTATTTTTCAAATATATGCAAAGCAAATACATTGTTTTTCTCAAAAAATAAGTTCACACGTATTAAAAAACAAAATTAACCGTTTTAACATGCCCTCATTTCAAGCAAACAAATTGTAAAATTGTGAACTTGTTAGATAATACGGACTAGACCACAAATTAGCAAAAAAAAGGAACATTCACTATTGCTCAAGAAGAAGATCGATGTCTACATTTGATCAAAAAAAGAACATCGCTACTATTTTTTGGAGAAAGGAGAATTTAATACATGAGAAATAAAAAATAAAATCAGGTGGTAAATCACTTCAATAGGTGCAAATGTGCAATCAGACATGGAACAAGTGACTTGGGCAAGACCACGAGCCGCCTTGTTCGCTGACCGCCGAATATGAGAAAACCAAATCTCTGTGAAGTAAGACCGCAACGCTCTAATATCTCCTGCGATGACACTCGCTAAAGAGACGCTTGAGCCATTCTGAATTTCCGATATCGCCTTGATAGCATCTAATTCCACATCAATAATGTCCCACCCTCGATCTTTTGCCCAAGCAAGAGCTTCCCAAATCCCTGTTTTCTCGCACTTAAAATAGATTGTAATATAGTGGTGTAAGTATGAGTATCGTCTCCACGGACAAAAGGGAATCAAGAATTAATTAAGTTCAGCGATTAAAAATAAATAAAATAAAATGCAATTGTGCGAGTTTGATTGGTTGAGTAAAATAAAGCTAATGCTAATGAGCGAGTAAAAAGATTGGTTTTCCTTAATTAACGACGAAGGGAACAGGGATTGATTCCGGGGTTAACCAGATTTCTTGCAGATCAGGCCTAACTACATGAAATTGACTTAATTGAGCCTAGCTAATCATTACTAAGTTCTTACCGCTCTCGTGGCGTAGAGTACAATAATTTAGGGGACCAGGCTGATCTTTATGCGACAAGATCCTAAATTATTTCCAAAACGAGCGAGCTTACGGCCCCTTAATCGCTACTAATCTCTTAGCGAACGATTAAGTGTGTGTGAATGTGTCCTAAAATAAACTAGATCTCTCTTAATTTATTCTACAAGCAATTGGAATTCTAGCGGCCGTTCTAGGTTACAAGAGATATCAGTTAAATTATTCAAACACAAATTAAACAACATTCATGCAATTAAACCAAAAGGAATCTAGCCATACATCATGATCAATCCCTTCATCAAACTCAAATCCCTAGCTAATTAAACTACTCACGCCTCATGATTGACGAATCAAAAGAATTGGAATGAATAGAATAAATTGTCATTAATTAAAAGAATTGAACTTACAAAGAATCCCAGGTTCTTGAAGTAAACAACGTAAAAACGCAGATAAAATTTGTCCTAGGCCTCTCCACAAAGTTCGTAACCTTCAAAAAGGGTTAGAGAGGCCTTATTTATAGAAAACAGGTGAGTTTGGGCTGAACTGGGACAAAACGGGGTAATTCGGGCGAAAATAGGATTTTCCAGAGGCAGGCACGGTGTCAGGCACGATCGTGCCTTCGATCGTGCCTTCGGAGCAAAAACGCGCGTTTTGGGCAGGCACGGTCATGCCTCCCTCCAGGCACGATCGTGCCTGCCTGGCAGTAGCTCCGCGGTGCTTTTCTCTTCATGCACGATCGTGCCTAACTTTGAGGGCACGATCGTACCTACTTAACTTCCGAATTTGACAAAACTTCCTTCATTAAAGTTGTAGATAATGAAGTCCTCTATCCGCCACAACTTGCTGAATGGGATTTGAATCATCCAATCAAGAGATATGATTAAAATGGTGGAAGGTCTCATTCTGAAATAGCAACAGGGATCATCTGACTTCATCGTCTATTTTCACCTTCTTCCTCTCAGATTCTCTCAAAGGTGTCTTCTTATGATTTTTAGCTCTTGAAGTTGGCTTTCATATGGAACTTGAATCGTGTCTATTGGTTTTTTCTACAAAGTGATATTCTTGAACGATTGATAAAAGGTCATCTTGATCGTCGTTTTCAAGCTCTATTCGTCTTCGTTTGATCCCGTAGCCAATCCTAGAGCTCTTTTGTCTTCAAATCTTCATCGTAAACCTACCGGTGACCTCCAAAGATCTCAAATCAATCTCGAATGCATCTCGAATCATCCCAATTGTTCTTCAAGCGCCGGTTCCAAACTCTAAATTCCTGATTTTGACTCCAAATGATACAAAAGTCGAACCAACGCCCGGTAAACATAACTTGAGCTAAAATTGAAACTTGTAACACCTTAAAGCTAGGAAAACCATCAAAAGCTGATCCCAACACGCATCAAATGTGTGTCTAAATACGGACTTATTAGATTCCCCCACACTTAAGCTTTTGCTTGTCCTCAAGCAAATCGAACAACGGGACTTACGATAATCACCATACGGAATTAAAACAGTTAGCATGCACACGTAGTTAAAGGGATACTCACAGAACAGACAGTCTAAGCCAAGAAAATTCTATCCTAAACTACATCTTTGTACTCAAGCTAAACTATTTGACAAAAGTATTCACAACATCCTCAAAGTAATGACAACATACACAAATAAACTTGCTATTGATCAGAAGGACTTGTGAAGATGATGGTGAATGGTCAATGGATAACAAGTAACAACCCCTTTCTTTGAGAGATTGGAACATTATAACAAAGACTCAATGTATTCAGGAACTTCAGGGCTATTCTTAGGATCAAGGAACTCAGTAGGCCACAATTTAGGAACAATCATTTAAACCTATGCAAAGAGTAGACATGGTGTACAACTATGTTAAACCGTCTCAGCACATTTGTACTTTGACGTATACTTGAAGTACGCGGAGGACTAAAGCTAAATTTTGAGATAGCCTCTAAGTTCATTAATTAAATTCAGTTTTCCTTGTCTTGTTGGCACGAGAACGTCATTTCTTTTGAAAGATACCCAAGTCTCATCTTACGCTTTTTGACCGGGGCTCCCATTCCCTTTTTTCGCAAGGCAAGAGGTCTAGCTATATTAATTTTTCACCTTTTGGATTCTCACTACACATTACCCCATTCTAATCTCGGCCTCACCAAGTAAAAATAGCAATTTAAAGTTCATTTATTCAAAGTGAATCCATGCCTACAATGCAATCCTCGAAAGTATCAAATTCCTAAAAAGTGACTGCTCTTACCCCATTTGGGGCATAGGAGCAGTGCCAAAAATGGCTCCTACACAAATTCCCTAAACTTAGCAGATTAATCCCCTAGTTCCTTAAACACCAAGACTAAGTCAGAAATATTCACGGGTAAGGAAACGCTGGCCATTTGGCTATGGAGCTCAATTACTTGGGGTAACAAAGAACAGTCAGGCTCAAAATGGTTTCTCCTAAAGGGTCTTATTCACGTCAAATGGGAACTTTGTTAATTCATTCAATGGGTGACTAATGCCTTCATCCTTTCAACAACTAGGTTATCATGCAAGCAATTTGAGCCTAAACACTTCAAGGACATTCTAAAAGCATAGTCAAAACGCTAGCCAGTTCACAAAGACACAGTTTAAAGAAAAAAAATTCAAAAGTTTTAACATGAATTTCCTATGAATATACAACTAACATCTGCGCATGTTAACTCTAATAATCACATGTAACAACTACTGCTCGAATGCCCAATTCACTCCCCCACACTTAAACTTTGGCATCGCCCTCGATGACCAAAAATGCATTATGCAAAAGGGGGTAAAGAGGAAAGGGTCATGCGTGCTCAATTAAACTCAAGTCAATCATTTACAAAACAGGCGATATAAAGAGTTGCAGAAACTTCCCTAAGGCGCTGGTCGGTGCAGAACTAAACTGAGTCAATGTAATCATCGGCACATCATCCCCACAACAAGACCCTGAGCTGCAACAAAAACACAAAGCAAAACAACCAAACAACAAACAAAGCAAAAGCAAAACAACCAAACAACAAACAAAGCAAAAGCAAAACAAAAGCAGAAATAAGCTCGGGTTGCCTCCCGAGAAGCGCTATTTTTAACGTCGTGTGCCCGATGATACTTCATAAGCTCTCAAATAACAAAGCCTGCAGTGGTGTACTAACAACCAACGTTTCCAACTTCCTTTCAACAAATGCCATTAAGTGGCGCAAACCTTTAAATTCTCGAGTACACGTAGGCAGCACATGCTCTTCATATCCCTCATCAACACAGAAGTGAAGTATGAAACTCACATCCTCTTCGGGTGGACAAAGAACATGAGTGAAAACTTTGATTACTCTAGGTATCACCGGAAGCTCAAAAGATGTTTCAAAGCAGGGAGTAGGAGCAACACCGTAATCAAATTGCACCATAGAAAAGTCTCCTTCCTCACAAATATCATGAAAATTCGCAATCTTTCCTCCGGACTCTGTATCACTCCTGATGAAGGCATCCCAACTCTCGTTAACATTGTTCTTATCAATATCTCTCTGGATGATGTTGTCATTCTCCACATAAAAAGAAATATCATCATCAAGGAGTGAATCAAAGAAATCCAAATCTGAAATCACGTGAGAGTGGATCGGTGCATGTGTACAAGAGGGGAATTCTTTCTTGTGGAGCAGGACTTCTCCATTATGGACATCATCTACCTCGCCCCCACTCTCTTGGAGCATGTAATCATCTTTTCCCAACTCATCTTCAATACCCAAACCTACCTCATCAGTAGCATCACCATCATGACTTATCTTCTCCTTGCCCTCCTCAGGTGTTGAGACTAATGGTAAATCAAACGGCTGGGGAGTTTCTGTATGAAAATCACAGTGATTTGTGACTTCATCAGTTACAGCTTGTACCATTTCAAACTTTTTCCAGTATTCTTGGAAAACCAACTTGATACTACTATCTTCTTCTTTATCTTCAAACAAACATAGGTGGGTCTTCAAAAGCATCAGGAAGTGTATCATCCTTCATATTCCCACCATCATAGTCTAACTCGCTCATGTGATCATCCCTATTGGTCTCCTCGGATTGGTCTTCTACCAGATAGCTCCTTATGGTATTTATATGCTTCGTCACGGCAGAAATGCTCTTCCTCGTATTCTCTATGTACTCAGACAGAGTCTCTGAAAGTGTCTTCTTACATTGATTTTGTGGCTCATTACTTGGCAAGGATGTAGGAGTGGCTGAAAGATTTGTGCTTGTAAATTGTGGGGAGGAAGAAGTACGTGGGGTATGCAGTTGCCCAGTAGGGATGGTCGTATGGAGGTTTAACGGGGCAAGAAGATATATGGTGACATCCTCCACAGAAGGAACACATATTATTCTTAGGCAGACAAGGTTGCGTAGTTGGAGGGTATGAATAAGGGAACTGATAATTTTGTGGTGTAGGAGAGTAATTTTGATGAGGAGAATAATATTGATGATGAAGGTAAGGACGATATGGCGTGCATGGTGAATATTCCATGGAGGTTTGATGGTAAGGAATTCCTCCAGGAATTTGGGTGAATGGGTTCATCTCATGCCTCTTTGAAAATTACCTGAAAGGTTAGCACAGAAAAATCCTACGAAGAACTAAAAAAAACTAACTAAAAAAATCTCGTTGAAATTAATTAACCCTTAAAACCGACACTATCCCCGGCAACGGCGC